TCCAGACATTGTTGATCGTGTTATCCCTGATATCTCCCCATCTCTTTGCTCTCTCTTCACGGTCATTAGGCGCTGCAATGATGGCGATGGACGCATCCCTCTAACCGAATGTACTGGCCCCCCATGGTCCCCTTTCGGGTTCTTAATGGTTCTGTTCCTACCTCTGGGGCGCCCACATGGGCTTGCAATCGCGCCCTTCGACGAAGCCAGGATTGTCTTCGAGGCGCTGGGAAAGCTATGATTTTGATTGGAGGAGACCTCAACGTCGCTCTGGAGGAGGGCGGGGGGCACTGTGGCGATGGCTCTGGGTGGCGCCCTGAAGATCTGCATCGGCATGGCTTGTTCTCTGGGCACGTTCCGCGTTGGACTGGAACTCGCCAGCCTGGCCCCACCCGAAGGGACATTCCGAATAATGCGCTGGTCCATGCGAGCCGTCTTGACCGTCTCTATCTCGCCAATCCCTCTGCTGTGATTGCTGATCTCTCGATCTCTTGCCATGTCATTGGACAGGCGACATTCACTAGCAACGCATCGGATCAAATTCCCGCGCGCGCGATTTTTCAAGGGTTTGTTCCAACAGACTTTCGGGGGATCCCCTCGTGGGTGGGGTCTCACCCCATATGCCATGCAGAGCTCGAATTTCTCCTGAGAGACATGGGTCGATCGGCGCCGATTTGGGGATCAAGTCGGTCTCGTGAACCAGCGCGCGTGGGAGGCTGCCGCGCAAACCCGTCGGCGCATGACACGAGTGTTGGCAGTTAAAACCGATGAAAGCATCCACTTCGCACTTGCAGCGTTGCGAGGTGTGCGAGAACGGAATTTGCAGCGCGCCAGTGACGCAGTGCAGTGCTACCTTGCTCTCGCTTGTTTCTGTGACCTCACGTCTGGCATCGGCTATTCAGTGCCTTCTCTCTGTGACCACGTCCGGGCGATGCAGAACTCTCGTATATAGGAGCTTGAGAGGGCAGCTGACCAAGAGGCTGAGCCCGACATGAAGGCCCGCGCGCGATCGAGGTTGCAACGGCGTAAGGAGCTATGGAGGCCACGCCAGAAGAGGGTCTGTCTGGGGAACATTTTGGGCTCGGATGGGGGCCCCCGCGCATCTCGAGAGGCGGCCGGCGAGGCTCTGGCGGTCCACTGTTTTGGTTGGGGGGGCATGAGTGTGATGTGGATATCTGGGCCGATCTGGACAATCATGTTGTTCCTGTTCCTGAAGTTTCCGACGATCAGTGGCACCTGGATTTTGATTCTTTCGTGGAACTCGTTCGCGGGCGTAATGGCTCTTGCCTTGGGCCAGGCGGCATTGTGCATTCGCGATGGAAGTCCCCCATTCCCATTGCAGCGTTATACGATCTCTATTGCCGCATGATGGAACATCGCGGCGCGGATCTTCCGGTGGGCACGCGCGAAATGTCACTGGCGTTTCTTGCGAAAAGGGGGCCATCCATCTGATCTCACTTCGTCTCCCTCTCGCCGCCCTGGCGCACGCCGACCGCAGGCGATGGCAGACGCTCACTTGGAGATTGGGGCGCGTAGCCCGCGGGGCCGCGGCTAAAGCTCAAGCGCGCCTCAAGGGGCGCCCGATGACTGATCAAATCCTGGATGCGGAAGTCCGGGGGCCGCAGCAGTTTATGATGAGAAGGGATATGGCCTGCGTGTTCCTCGCGGCCTTCGCTGCTACTTTTCCGGGCATCGTTATTTCCTGGCCCCTTCGGGCCATGTTCCCGATGCAAGTCCATTCTGGGGTCGTTGGTTTCTTCGAGGTGCTTTGCTCTGATAATCTGGGGCATATCTACTTCGGTGGGAAGCGGCGCCGAAGCATTCGGCTTGCCCGTGGGGCGCGCCAAGGGGGCCCATCGAGGATGCTACTCTTTGCGGCGGCCCCTGATCCTTGCATTCGTTGGGTCAGCTCACGTCTTCCAAGAATGACTCTCGCATGCGCTGATGATTTGTGGTTTTCCATTGCGCGATGCCGTCCTCGAGCTTCCTCTGCTGCTACCACGGCTGCAGAGTTTAGATGTTGCGAGTGGTCTCTCTCTCTCTCTCTTTCTCTCTCTCTCTTTCTCTTTCTCTTTCTCTTTCTCTTTCTCTTCTCTTTCTCTCTTTCTCTCTTTCTCTCTATCTCTCTTTTTTTTTTTTCTCTCTCTCTCTCTCTCTCTCTCTCTCTCTCCTCTCTCTCTCTCTCTCCTCTCTCTCTTCTCTCTCTCTCTCTATCTCTCTATCTCTCTCTCTCTCTCTCTCTCTCTCTCTCGCTTTCCGAATGTAAGGAATGTGTGCTTGTGGTTGTGGGCTTGCAATGTGCGCTTCGTGATTCGGCGCGCGCGGCGTCTACTGGAGTCTCTGGGGCCTGGTGCCCCGTTGATTCAGCTCGCGCGGCGGCGCGTTACTTTGGGGGGGGGGGGGGGGGGGGGGCAAAATTGGGCCCGAAGGGCATGTGGACGCGCGGCGCGCTGCACTACAGCAGTACCACCAGCGCTGCATTGATATTCGTCGTCCTCGGCTCGGGCTTGCAATGGCGATTCGTGCGCGTGCTATCTTCGCTGTCTCGCTGCTTCGTTTCGCGATGCAGTTCTACCCGCCCCCTCATGCTGTTCGGAAATGTGAGCAGAATATGCGCCGCAAACTCATTGCTGGTCCGCGCTTCTCGTTCAATCGCTCGATGTGCACGCGTCTTCGAGCCTTGGGGCTCAGTCGCGAGTTCCCTGATCTGGAGTTAGTGAGTGTTGCGACGCAGGTTCGGCTTGCACACCGCTCCTCTGCTCTCTCCAGAGTGCGGCTATTGCTTGGGGACCTAGCTGCGCAAGGTGAAGACCATCCAGGTCGCACCAGATACCCGCGGTGGCAACGCTCGCCTGCTCGTGCACTGGTCTCGACATGGTCTGATCGCGTCTCTCTACGTTCGGCATTTCTGCAGACTACGGGGTCTCAACGAAAGCCGTTCAACCGTCTGCGCGCCCGCCCCGCCCCTATCTCCCCCAGCCGTCGCCTGCAAATTCGGGTTGTTCGGTGGCTCCCAGGGGTTTCGGTATTTCAGACTTCGGGTGTCATTCAGGCTATCCGTAAGGTTACCAAGTGTAGTTATCTGTATATGTTCTTGCTGTTCTGCGGGTGCTACCTCGAGGCGTCTGTGCTAGTGCTCGCTTCCACCGTGGTCCTGAACGATGCTGCTGGAACTGTGGAAGCCCTGGCGCTTCTGATCCTATGGAGCATTATGCAGTCTGTCCTGAATTTCGTCGACTGCGTCTAGTCCTCGCCCCCTGCCCCCGTCCGTTTTTTT